CCTCTCATGCTAGCATTGCAGACCCCATAGGGTGAAAGGGGGACCTCATTCAGCCTTGAAACCTATGGGCTCAGCCCCCAAGGCACCAGGAATTCCTCCTCCGTGGAGAACCAAGGCAGCTCTGGCTTTTTCTCCCTTTGATTAGTGGTTCTAAATCTTTCTGTTATCAAGGCCCCTTTTTCTGTTGTATATATGTCTTGTTGCCCTTGCATTTTTATCTGCCAAACTGTGCCAATGGAGTAACCAAGCACATTTTCCTTTCCAAATTAACAAAGACAGGACTGAGTGTGCAATAAAACCAATGTCCCAGTGGAAAAAATAATAATAAAAACTCCTGGCCCTGTTATGGGTGGTGTGTCCCTGTCATAGGTAGAGTGGCATCCGGTTCATGGTGCCCATCTCATATCAGCCAGAGACAAAGCAACCCCTTGTTTATCCCAGCTTAGCTTTTGGTCTGTGTCCATGCCTTGGAGACATGGAGAAAACAAAGAACCAGAAAAAAAAAAGAAAGAAAGAAGAAGAAAAGGGAGGGGGGCAACAGGCATGATGATGAGCACCTATAATCCCAGAAATTTGGGAGGTGAAGGTGAGAGGATCTCTTGAGCTCAGGAGTGCAAGACCAGCCTAGGCAACCTAGTGAGACCATGTCTGAATCAAAAAAAATAAATAAATTAGCTAGGCCTGGTGGTGAGCACCCGTAGGTAGTCCCATCGTCCTGGAACCTGAGGCAAGAGGATGGCTTGAGCGCAAGAGTTTGAGGCTGCAATGAACTATTATTATGCCACTGCACTCCAACATGGGCAACAGAGCAAGACTGTGAGAGCTTGTCTCTAAAACATAAAAATAAAAAACAAAAAGACTCCAATAAAGTCCTATTGAATCTTTTTCCTATATTAAATAAGATATCAACCCCAAATCAAAGCTGTTCCCAGTTACGATACTAAAATTCGGTGACAATATTCCAATTAACTGGCTCTGTTCCCAGGGCTCAGGGATACCAACTTGACCTTTCTTTAATGTTCCACTTTGTGAGGATAATTTCATTCTTTCTCTCAGGAGAATTGTAAAGAAAACTAATAAAAACACTATTACATAGCACTTAGCTGTGACTAGGGATTTAGCGTTAGTGCTCAATAAGTTCTAAATAGTTGTTTAAAGCATTTATTTCTGAGATACAGATGGTGATGTTACGCCTAGTATCACCTAGTACACTTCTTTCAGACTGATTTGAATTTCTGGCTATCCTGAAGAACCGGGAATTTCTATGAGTTACAAATTTGCCTAAAGAAGATAATCAAAATTCACTTGCTATGTTGTTTAAGTTGGAACCAAAAGAAGTTCTATTTCTAAGGTCATTCTCTTATTTATTATTTCCATATGTTGATTCCTAAGGTATATACAAGATTAACACAAGAACTCCAGAACTTTAAAATGGGTATATGAATACACTGTACATTTAGTGTTAATATTAAAGTTAGCTTTATGAAAGGCTTAGCAACCCAATGATACATAAGAGAAAAGTTTCATATATAGCTGTGTTTTGCTTAATGACAGGGATAAATTCTGAGAAATGTGTCATTAGGTGATTTTATCATCGTGTAAACACCATAGAGTGTACTTACACAAACCTAGATGGTACATACCCAGGCTACATGGTATAGCCTATTGCTCCTAGGCTACAAACCTGTATAGCATGCTATTGCACCATAGGCAATTGTAACACAATGGTAAATACCTGTGTAGCTAAACATATCGCAACATAGAAGAGGCAATGTGTTGTACTACAAAGCCATGACTGCAATGTCACCAGGTGATGAGACTTTTTCAGCTCCATTATAATCACACAGAACCACCATTGTATATGCAGTCCATCATTGACCGAAAATTGTTATGGAGTGCATGATTGTACTGAAATAAATTTACTAGTTATGAAGCAAATATAAATATATGTTTAATGGGTGTATTTCCCCCCTTCTACCCTAGGCCTGCTGGCAGAGCTTTCTGGAGCTCTCTCTGTTTCCTCTACAAAACTCTCAAATAAGGTCTGAGGACCCTTCAACAACTGCCTTGCTGATGGGGGGAAAAATCACCTAATTACTTCTCGCTTCTCTAGTCTGCTGAGCATTGATGACAGATGCAATCAAAATAGGCCCTGATGTGGTTTATTTTTTTTTTCTGTTGCAAAAGCTAGTTTTGCTCTGCATCCAAAAGTTATTAAAGTGACTATCCAGGTGGAAAATACTTTACACAGGCCCCTAGTCCCCAATTCCTGTGCCTTGGACTTATATCGGTCTGTGGCCTGTTAGGAACTGTGCTGCACAGCAAGAGGTGAGCAGTGGCCGGGTGAAGAGCAAGCCATACTTCATGCATATTCACAGCCTCTCCTCATTACACATCACCGCATAAGCTCTATCTCCTGTCAGATCAGAGAAGGATTAGATTCTCATAGGAGAGCAAACCCTACTGTAAACTGCAAATGCGAAGGATCTAGGTTGTGTGCTCCTATGAGAATCTAATGCCTGATGGTCTGAGTTGGAGCTGAAGCAGTGATGCTAGTGCTGGGGAGCAGCTACAAATACAGATTATCATTAGCAGAGAAGTTTGCACAATAAATGAAATGTACCGGAATCATCCTGAAACAACCCCTTCCCATCCCCCTTTCATGGAAAAATTGTCTCCCATAAAACCAGTCTCTTGTGCCAAAAAGTTTGGGGACTGCTGACACAGGCAATTTTGAAAGATCTATATTGGTGAAGCACAACATTATCCTTGAGGGATAATTCACTGGGAATTACTTCTCAAAAGAAAATATCTTCTGTCTCTCATAGGCTATTAGCATTTCATGTTAGATTCTCAATGACTTTGTAAATAGTTGAATGCTTTGATCCTGTTGGAAATATCAATCCCTTGTTTTCCATCCCAACTGTCACAATCCTCAGTACAAGAAAGGAGGGTTGAGAGGACACAAAGGGGAAGATGGAATCACATATTGTGCACCTGCATGGTGATGTCCCTTGGGCACAGCAGACCCAACACATCCAAATCATTATCACCTTCCCCCATGTGCACCCCTCAGCCCTCCTTCTTTGTTGTATCTATAATCAAGTAAAGGGCACTGTCTTAATATCTAGTCATTCAACTCCCCAACCTAGAAAACTTCTTCAGTCCCTCATTCTTCCTCAACCCCTGTGGTAACCCATTGCCACACCGGATCATTTTTACCTCTTTAATATCTGTCACTAGTACTCTCTTCCCCATCCCCTTTGCCTTCACTTATTACTCAATATTTTCAACACTGACTTCTTGAGGGCCAGGGACAAGCCTAGGGGTCAAGGACGGATGGGACCTCATTAGGCCTGGGGCTGAAGGGACACAGGTGTGTGGTAAGCAAGGCTTGCCCAAGGCAAGAAAAGATGAAGAGCCTAGAGTAAATGATAAGATCCAGATTTTGGAGAGAGGGTCTGGAAGTATCAAATCCAAGACCCTGTGATTTTGGCCATGGGAGGAGATAGGGTATGAGAGAGTTGCTGAGTAATCCTCAGTATTTGAAACTTGGCAGGATATGTTGGCCAGGTGGGACAGGGGTAGAAAGACACTGGAATTATAAATAAGCTTCTAAAACAAGTCTCAGCACTAATTGAAAATTTTAATTATTTTATAGCCTCCCCTCTCATGAAATGTAAGCTTCGTGAGGGCAGGGATACTTCTATCTTGTTCATTATGATTAATATATCCCCAGCACCTCTCAGTGCTTCATACATGACTGACACTACATAATACTTGTTGAATAATTACATGAATTAGTCTTTGATACTAAAAATCTAATCATATCACGTCAATGCTTAGAATTCTTCAATAACTTCTCAAAGACTTTAAGATAAAATAAATCTGGAATCCTTAGATTAGTGTGAAACCAAATAAACAAACATAAAAACACTCATTTAATTACTCTAGGCTATTTCCCACCTAATAGCTTACCATTTTTTCCCTCCTATTCCTGCAAGGAGTGAGTATTGCAATTACAATGAACTATTTTTGGTTATTCACATGTGTCACACACACTTGTTTACCATTTCCCTCATAACCACAGTCCACTCAGCAATAGTCAGTTCAGAAATCACCCTCTCCAGAAAGATTTTCCCAACTTCATGCCTTGTTTTGATTAGGTGCCAAAGCATTTCACATTGTTGTATTGCAATTTTTCTGTTTTACCTTCCATGCTTGTTCAAAGTATATATTCCCTACAGATTGCAAACTTGCCAGTCCCCACAACAGAGCGATCTATTGAGTAAGACACTATAAAGAGAGAAACAAAGAAGTGGGTGGAGAAGTAGGGAGAGAGAGAAACAGACTCCACAGTACAGAGCTAACCAGCTGGCAGCAAGGAAATACTAATGAGATTGACTGAAGCCAGGTACTCAAGCATACTTGATCATTTGAGATATAATAAAAAATAAATGAGGGAAATATACATTTTATAGGTCTATTTTTTTCTTTTTAAGTGCCAGAGGAACCCTTTGCAAAGATTTCAACCAGCACCACAAATCCCATGAATTGTGAGTGGCTGGGTTGGAGCCTCCTCCCTCCTGGGAGGAGATGGTAGGGTCAGCTACTCCCATGGAGCCCAAACTGGATGCCTTTCTCTGTGCATCCTATCACATCCTTTTCTGCTCGGGCTTGGATTCCTGTATGACTGATGAGTCATAGGAAAACACTTCTTCACATCAGCTGCTTTGGTCTTCCTGTCATTCAGCATCTGGGCTAAATAAAACTTCAGCTTGTCTTCAGTGAGGTAAGAAACAGTGACCTACGAGTTAGCACATGACCAAAGCTCTGGACAAGATTGCCAGCCTCACAGGTTGTCTTCCTTGTGCTTTCTGAACTCCTGAGTTTATAATGAAAAAAATGCCAGAGCATTCTCAGTAAGTATGATGGAGCAGATACTGTAAATATGTATTGAAAAGCTCTGAGAATGAAGTGCACACCAAGAGAGTTCTCACCAAAATGTTGCACATCACCAACACCCTCTTCCCTGGGCTCCTCTCTCTGGGTATCATCTTCCTCCATCAGGATCTTCTGCTGAGTCTCAAAGGAGAAACTGGGATCGATGTCAGCCTGCGCTCAGCAAGAAAAGGGAGATACCATGATCAGGAAGTTGAAAACTGAAGGTCAACAAAACTTCATCTGTTAAACACAGATGTTGAACATCTGGAGACACAAACTGCTACTCAAGGTGGAAAACAGACGTCTTAGATCACCCTGTTATTCTACTGCTAGCTACCCTTTAGAATGACAAAACTTAAACACCACCAGCACTACCACCAACAAAAGCACACTTTTGGATAGAATAGCTACAGATTTTTTTTTTTTTTTGAGACAGAGTCTCGCTTTGCTGCCCAGGCTAGGGTGAGTGCCGTGGCATCAGCCTAGCTCACAGTAACCTCAAACTCCTGGGCTCAATCGATCCTGCTGCCTCAGCCTCCCAAGTAGCTGGGACTACAGGCATGTGCCACCATGCCCGGCTAATTTTTTCTCTATATATTAATTGGTCAATTAATTTATTTCTATTTATAGTAGAGATGGGGTCTCACTCTTGCTCAGGCTGGTTTCAAACTCTTGACCGCAAGCAATCTGCCCGCCTCAGCCTCCCAGAGTGCTAGGATTACAGGCGTAAGCCACCGTGCCCAGCCGTAGTTACAGATTTTTAAAAAACAGATTCTAGCAAATGAGTAATGAGCAATGCTTAGACCAAAAGGAGGGCCAGTTTTTTAGCATAGTTGTTTCTACTTGGGTTTATTGCTGCTTCTTTTCTATTCTTTTTCATTCTTTTCTTTTATTTTTTTGAGATAGGATCTTGTTCTGTCACCCAGCTAAAGTGCAGTGATGTTATCATAGCTCACAGCAACCTCAAACTCCTGAGCTCAAGTGATCCTCCTGCCTCAGCCTCCCAAGTAGCTGGGAATACAGGTGTGCACCACCACACCTGGTTAATTTTTCTACTTTTTTTTGTAGATACAGGGTCTTGCCCTTGCTCAGGCTGGCCTCAAACTCCTGGCCTCAAGTAATCCTCCTGCCTTGGCCTCCCAGAATGCTAGAATTACAGGCGTGAGCCACTGCAGTCTGCCTTCATTACTGTTTATTTTCTATACCATGGCAGCTACATTGTTAGGTATTTTGTCTTTATTATTTTTTCTAATTTTTACAAAATCCCATATTATAGGGAAGGAGACCAGTATCCTTTTCCTCAAGAGCTCCTTAAGGCACTCCTGACTTTACATCGGGCTTCCTGCAGGTCTCCTACATCGAGTATTCTCTGCAGACTCAGGGGTGCCCCAGGAGATGACATGGTCCCACTTTCATGTAAGTAAGAGGTCCCATTTGTTACACACATACTATTCCAAATATTTTCTCAGCTGATTCTCACAATGGCTCTAGGACTAAGTATTATGATTTTTATTTTATAAATAAGGAGCCAGAGGCTGAGGAACATTAAAAGAGTTGTCAAAAGTCACATAATCAGTAATGTACATTACTTCATAAGGTGACAATCCCCACCTTCTATTCAAGTGCTAAACATGTATCCATTTCTCTTTAAATTGTTCTTGATATATTAAGGAGGACAAATTTTAATGGTGGCAGAACTGGAAGTAGAAAGACAAGTTAGAGCTCTATACATCAGTTCAGGGGAGAAGTGCTAGGAAACAAAACTAGGGCATTTGTTTAAGATAGTGGTATACAGCTGTGATATAGATGGGAGATAAAATTCATCAGGCTAAGATGATTTATTGACACTGGGAAGTGGGTGCAGGGGAGAGCCTAGTGTGACTTGAATAAGTGGTGGATGATTGTGGAGGATAAAGCAACTCCATGTTGGATGCTAATCTGCCGTGCTGACTTCTGTTAACTCCTGTTCTGGGAATGCCTCTAAGATTTCTACTTTATCTGCTGTTACTGTAAATCCTGCCCTTAGGTCAAAACAACCTAAACCATAAAGCCTGCTCTTAGGAAGATTCACATAGCATTCTTGCTCTTCCCTCAGAGATCCTTTACATATTTTCTCTGCAGTGCATAAGCCCTGGGTCTGTAGGGCAAGGTGCAGGGAGCCATCATCTTGTCTCACCATAGCCCGAGAAGTTCAAGATATGACTTCTGTTCTTAAATCCCTATTAAATGTTTCTCTCTGAGAAACTGGATTTGTCATCCTCTTTCTTCAGCCTTTTAGTTTCCTCAGCCTTTGGGGGTAGGTTTGTATAGACCCACTCAATGCAGAATATTGATGATGCCATTTTCTGAGAATGGAAATACAGGAACTGGAGCAGATGTGGTGTGTGGAGGGGAATTCAATACTGGACACATTGAGTTGAAATATATCTGCAGAGCATCCAAGTGAAGTGCCAAGTAAAGATTATAACTAGAGATGTATATTTGGAGGATGCAGGTCATAAGAAGTTTTGTTTTTTCCTCACAATGGGAGACAGCAATCTAAGCTGGTTCATAGGATGAGGGAAATGTTCAAGATCTAGAAAGAGGGGCATTAAAAGATATCACAATGTCCTGGGAGAGAGAAGATGAGGTCAAGAACCCAGGTGGCATATTGGTCTTGACTAGAGTGCTCCTCATCTCAGGACAACGGGCAGAGGAAAGGGGCGATAATAGATGCCCATGAAGGTCGATAGCTGTGTGGCAGAAAGGGTCAAGAGTAGAGGATTTTTACATGCTGAGGGGATCACTTTTCAAGTACAGGGCCACTCCTTCCACTGAAAGTCTACCACGGTGAATATTATTGTAGGAAATAAATGCTGAAATATGGACTTCCATAAGTTATATTTAAAAAGAAGCTTAAAAAACTTTTGTGCTACAAACAATACTATCAAGAAAGTGAAAAGAGAACTCACAGAACAGGAGAAAATATTTTCAAATCATATATCTGATAAGGAACTTATATCTAGAATATATTTTTTAAAAACTCTTAAAATTCAGAATGGTCAAAGGATCTGAATAGGTATTTCTCCAAAGAAGATATACAAATGGCCAATAAGCACATGGAAAGGTTCTGAATGTCACTAGCCATTAGGAAAATGTACATCAGTACCACAATATAGTACCAATTTCACACTCACTAGGATGGCTAAAATGAAAAAGATGGATAATAACAAGTATTGGATAGGATGTTGAGAAATTGGAACACTCATAGGGTGCTTGTGGAAATATAAAATGCCACTTTGGACAGCAGTCTGGCAGTTCCTCAAAAGGTTAAAAATAGAGCTGCCATAAGACCCAGAAATTCCACTCTTAGGTATATATCCAAAAGAAAGGAAAATATATGTTCTCACAAACACTTGAATACAAATATTCATGGCATCATTACTCATAATAGTAAAAAAGTAGAAACAATTCAGATGCCTTTCAGCAGGTGAATAGATAAACTATGGTTTATCTATATGGAATATTATTCAGCCATAGAAAGGAATGAATTACTGACACAATGCTCCAATGTGGATGAACCTTGAAAACATGCTAAATGAAAGAAGCTAGTCACAAAATATCACATACTTTATGGTTTCATTTATATGAAATGTCCAGAACAGGCAAATCTATAGAGATACAAAGTGGATTAGTGGTTGCCCAGAGTTGGATGTGGGGGAGATAAAGGAGAGATGGGGAGTGACTGCAGTGAATAAGGAATTTCCTTTGGGGGGCAAGGAAAATGTTCTAAAATTAGGTGGTAGATGACTTTGAATATATTAAAAACCATTGAATTATAAACTTTAAGTGAATTGTATGGCATATGAATTATATCTTGATAAAACTGTCTTTTAAAAAGAAAGTACACAAAGGATTTTTAGGAAAATGAAAATACTCTGTAAGATACTGTTAATGGTGGATATGTGTCAGTATATATTTATCTAAACCCATAGAATGTACAAGAGCAAACTCAGATGTTAAACTATGGACCTTGCGTGATTATGAAGTGTCAACTCAGGTTCATCAGTTGTAACAAATTTACCACTCTGGTGGGAATGTTAACAAGGGAGAGAGGCTTTGCATGTGGAAGGACAGAGGGCATATGAGAATCTCTGTGCCTTCCTGTCAATTTTGCTATGAACCTAAAATTGCTGTAAGAAATAGTCTTTAAAAAAAAAAAGCCTGAGGTCTGAGGAAAGGATTGAGTGAGGCAAGAGCTGAACCTGCTAAAGACCAGACAATAATAATACCAGCCATTGCATGGGAGCATTTATATGCTAGGCACTGTGCTAAGTGCGTTTTACTGACGTTACCTCCTTTTATCATCACCACAAATCCATATATTAGGTAATTTTCCCTCATTTTACAGACAATACAGTTGTCAGAAAACAGCTCAGAAAACATAAAGAACTTGTCCAAGATCAATAGAGACAGACAAAAGGCAGACGTAGGTCTGTGTCAGTCTGTTCCTTAATACCTGCACCATGTTGCTTCCCACAAATCCCCTTCTTAGAAACCCACAGCACATATTAGTATATGCATTCAGTACAGGCACTAAGGAAATGCCTATTAATTCTATATAATCCAGCATTTCCGAAATGTATTTGAATATAGCATACACTTGCTTTGGGTACAATGGATATAATTATAGCACCCCAAAGAGGGCAGACTTTGTGAAAGAGCAAGATAGAAAATACTATTCTCCATGTCACTCCCTCTTTATTAACGAATCAGCAACTATTTGATATTAGGCAACTCAGTAATGAATATAACTGCAAACTTTCATAAAGAATATTATATAAGGTTGCATAAAGCAACTTGATATTTGATATTAGGCAACTCAGTAATGAATATAACTGCAAACTTTCATAAAGAATATTATATAAGGTTGCATAAAGCCTTCATGCCCAATATTATTCTCTGGCTTTTTCTCTGTTCATTCCTAAACTTTAGATTATTTTTTTAAAAAAACTTGATAATAGTTATGATAACCAGTGTGCATTGATTTTTTTTACTCTGTGCCAGACTGTTTTCTGGTTACTTTACAGGCATTATACCACTTGACACATAGCCCTCTGAGCTAGATTTGTTTATAACAATGTTACAATGGGATGCTGAGGTACAGAGATATTAAGTAACTAAACTTAAGA